TTTAATATTGAATTTTAAGAATATATAAAATATATATAGAGAATTTGATCAAAATCAAAATTCAAATGAATGATAAATTAAATAGGATTAAGAATATATTACAATAAAAACAAATCAAATTGAAATGGAATTGAATTATATATAATTATTTGAATTACATGTTTCTTATATTCCTATTACATAAATAAAGATGATTTACCAAATACAACAAATAAATATCAATAATTATCTTACAATATCACAAATCGCAATCCTATCATTATCATATCATTAATAAATACACCAAAACCTTGCAAAATCTCAATTTTCACCATTCCACCCCCTCTTTAATTTTATTGCATATTTATCTTTAATATCCTATGTTTTCTATTTTGTTGTATTATATAAAAAATAAATACCTTAAAAAAATGTATGCTCACAATGGCCAATTCTATAAAGCATTGCCAATTATATATGTTTCAATACAAAATAGTCCAAAAACAAAGATCTATAATAAAAATCAAAAAATAATCCATATAACAATAGGTTCATCCCCATAATATCCATTTAGATAACTAAAATATCATCATCAAAACCATTTGAAATATAATATGTACAAGTCTGAAAAATATATATCTATATAGGTTATATATAATATATTTAATCCTTCTATATTCTATTAAATAGATATAAAAAATCTAAATATAATTTTATAAACATATAATCTTGTAAATATTTCATTATATTAAATCATTTCATGTAATTTCATATTTGGCAGAATCGTTTCTGCCCGGCAGGGAATATGCAAATTATTCATTCAATTTGCGGATATTTCTGGAATATCGGGTGCCCAAATCCCGATCAAGCAAAATCGAGCTCACACACGATCAAAAGCAGCCGGGTAAATTAATGAGCGGTGTCACAGGTGCAATAGTTCTGCAATTTGGCAATTTTCCTTATAGATTGGTGAGTGGCAGGCACCAACCATAGCAAGTAGCTTTCTCTAGCCGCCGATGGGCTTGGAATGGCCTGAATTGGGATCGCTTCGTCATTAACTAGGAGATAGCCCAATGAGGAATATCATCGTTATGCAGGATATAAATCACCGCATGGTTGGTAGTCATGCCAAACCATTTCCAATCTTGTGGCGTAATCGAACATGGGCTTCTATGCGTCGGCACGATTCCATAGGATGGATTCATAAAATTTGTATCCTAAGCAGGGGAGTCGTCAATGTGCAAATAATACAATTGGTGTGGTTATAGCACAGCACAAGTGTATGGCGATTGCATATGCCATTCGTCGACCAAATATTGCAAATGATTTTTTTGCGGAAGCACGTTCTAGAATATCACGGATATTAGGAGAACGCCTTGATCCTCAATTTCGTCAATTGTCTAGCAGGGCCGGAACCAAATACTTGCCAACGCAGCCACCCAACAAATTCGGCAGCATCCCGTCAATCGGACATACGGCGTCCCTCAAATCAAGGAACAAAAATTTTTCCCAGCGTATCTTGCGCGAAAGGGTCGACAGGCCGTTCCCTACGTTTGACAGCAAAGAAATCAAAATGACGTTTTCAATCGCCTAAGCCATTGTTTTCGATACCATCATGGATCAATGATGCCCATAGCTGGGCTCGAAGCACGCTGCGGATAAAACACATGTTGTTTGCGAAGTGATAGGACATTGGTCATTTGCAAAGCCTCTAAGCTATCTGGACCCCGGTGGGAAGGTATCTCATCGAAATCAATTGCGTGTTGCCGTTGCCACATAGCTGAGTAATCAATTTGTGCAGTTCCGTGCTCTCCAGGCTCCGTATTGACGAGTCTAGGTTTCAAGCTGTCGTCTGGGATCTGTTCCTTGGGCATTGATTTCATAGTTGTAAATTTCTGGCTGAAATCGATGAAATCCATCTATTGGATAAAATTCAGGATCTTCTGAAGCATGTCGTGGAGGCCTTCTGAATTCAAAGGGATCCTGTTTCGTGAAATTCTAGTGAGTGGGGTTCG